TGGTTTCCAGAATGCAAACAAACTGTACACAAGGACATATATGGCACATTTAAAATGCTTTTCAAATTACAGGCGGCTCGCTACATTGATATATATTGGATTGTGGATCAAATGATATAAAATCTAGACTGAAATTAGCATACACTCCTTTGCCAATTACCAATACAATTTAATTTTTAATAATTTATTTGTCGATATCATTCGTTTTATCACTGTTTATAATTCTGGACTCTGAAAAAAGAACAATGTTACTGAATCAATAACATCTTTGAAAGATGGCTTATATTCTGTAAAAGCTCATGGTAGAAAACATGTATAATTTATCTTTGTATTTGCAAAGGTTGTTTCAAGCAGAATTCGTTTCACCAAAAGTTGTTAGAATTATCTGAAGTTTTTTTGGTCTATGGTTTGCATTTTACTATTTCATATGTTTTGGCTATCCTTTTTTTCACAAGCCTACATTTTTGTATTAAAAAATCATTAGATTCTTCCATTTCGTATGACATTTCCAAATAAAAAATTGTGTAGAACAAATTGAGTGTTATCTCGACTATATGACTGAGTACAGATTAAGTGATATTTTTTACCACTCTAAATCTTTTCGATTAATATAAGTTTTGATTGCATGCTAGTTTATTTCATTTTGGATTTTTCCCTTTCGAAATATTGCTTTAATACATTGTTTCCATTGAACGGATTTATCAATTACAATCTATATGATCTTTCCGCACTTAACAAATATATTTGTATTTGATTGTGTGAAAAACATATATGGATATTCAATGGTAGCTTGGCAATCATACCACATCTCCTTATTTTCATAGTGAATTAATTTGGAACACAGTATGTATAATAATCAATTGACATTGTTTTTTTATATTGTAGATGAGCCTATGATCTCAGATATTTCAGATCAAATCATTCAAGAAGGAAATACGTTAACTATCATCTCTAATATCGATGCTAGTCCAGACTCTATGTTTGTATGGTGGAGTCGTTCAAATGAACTAACTTTTAGACAAGATGGTGCAGTTCTAACCATTAGCAATATACAGAGAGAATACAGTGATTACTATACCTGTCATGCAATGAACACTTTAATACCATCAGGACAACCATCACAGAATAGAACTTCACTAGAAAGATTTCATGTTAGTGTACAGTGTAAGTGTTATTGTGAATGAAAAGAAAAGAGGATTATTAAAACAATTTAAATCATTTTAAGTACAAAATGATAAATACTATGTGAATGCTTACCTGCAAATGCTTATATACGTTTTCTTTGTATTAGAGACAACTTCAAGAAAGAAACTCAATTTTAATAACAATTTATCATACTTATAATTATTGGCGTTTAGTGTTAGCCCGGTGTTCTCATTTAGTTGATTCGATTTTTATATTGTAAGCTATTGTGTAAATTTCTGCAAAAATAATTTCGGCAAGTTCAAAGATGTTAATAACATTAACGGTACCAATTTAATTGTACCAGATGTTTAGTTGGACAATAAATGTCTCATCAGTGATGCCCAAGGCCTAATTATTTGAAAGTCAAAAACCTAATACAAACAATAAAGAGGTGATAAAATCATCAAGGAACAAAAGTGAAACCTAACCCGTACAAGGAATCAGAGCTGTGCATACGAATGAAGGAAATACAAATAGAAAAATGTCGGTACCAAAGTACTTGCTACTGGGCTTGTGATATACCCGGACACTAACCATCCTCCAGTAGAGGTATCGACACAGTGGTAATAGTACCATTATCAGTACCAATTTTATTGCACAAGCTTAAAATGTTCTTCGTTAAGCAATGATATAAGTTTGATACGAGAACTCTTAACCAATGACATCAATATATTTCTGTTATATTATTGATTTTATCGTGTACGAATACTACTTGACTAAATAATGATTTCATCTGTTATGAAGAAGATATATTTGCCGAAGGCCTTAAAACAACTTCAAATATTTACTTAAATTTAAACGTGGATCGATGACGTAGATTAAATATATTTAAAAGAAAGTAAAGAAAAGAAAAATGCATACCTTGTGCACATCTTTGATGGTTGGAGTGGATAGACTTGTAATTGCTAGACCGAAACCCGGTTAAAAATCTACAAAGATCTTTGCATGTCAACTTGAACATGTAAAAGTTGACTTGTTATAATTACTTAATATTTACATGGATTGTTATGTTATTACCCGGATTATTTTTTTTTCTCATCTTGATATCCTACTTTTGATAAAAAGATAAGTGGAGATGTTAAAAAAAGTACTTGGTCGTATAATGGTAACTCCCCCAATAAATAACTATTTCAGAGCTAGTTTTTGCGTGATTTCATATAAAATTTGGATCGAATTCTTTTCAATAATTAATTTCTTAGCTGCCAATACGTTGTACCGAATTTCATTGAAGAGAAAGGTTTTCAAACGGCATAGTTAGGGCATATAATGTAATGCTTACCTTAATGATATTTTTGCTTTAAATAATCAAGATTTGCCTTATCTAATTGCAGAAATATACCCATAGAATCTTACTTTAAATAAATCTAATACAGATACCAAAAATTGTTTTGTTCTAGATTTGGATATATCAGTTTCCAACAGAAAACTCCATACAAAATTTACGACTTATGAGACGTTTTCCCCCCAGATTGTTAATACCTTTTTGACGCTGTTCCATTAAAATCTTTCATAGCTACAACATTTTAGATACGATCCTCGTTAACTCATTGATCCCCTGAATAAATTTACACACCAGTTAAATCTTTAAATATGTTTTTTCAATTGGTACTTACTAACATTGATTCTATTTTTGAAAATATAAACATAATTTAATAAATCCTACTTTGTAAAGAATCACTCTGATTCATACAAAAAATTCTCTGAAACTGACATTATCAAGATGCTTGATTTCTTGATTGACAACATATTTGTTACGTTTGGCGACGTGTTTTTCAACAGACTGTCAGAATTCCAATGGGAACCAATTGTGCACCTCGTCTTGCCGACTTGTTTCTTTATTATTATGAGGCTGACTTCATACAGGAACTTCTTAGGGAGAAAAATAAGAAGTTAGCAATATCCTTCAACTCTACGTTCCGCTATATAGATGATGTTCTCTCACTAAATAATACAAAATTTGGTGACTATGTTGAACGAATCTATCCCATCGAACTAGAGATAAAGGATACTACAGACACAGTTAAGTCTGCCTCATATCTTGACTTACATCTAGAAATTGACAATGAGGGTCTGTTGAAAACAAAACTTTACGACAAAAAAGATGATTTCAGCTTCCCAATTGTGAACTTTCCATTTCTATGTAGCAACATTCCAGCAGCGCCTGCATACGGAGTATATATCTCCCAATTGATACGATATTCCCGGGCTTGTGTTTCCTATCATGATTTCCTTGATAGAGGATTGCTGCTCACAAGGAAGCTATTAAGCCAAGAGTTCCAAAAGAGGGACGAAAGATACCAGAGGGACAGTCAAACTCATAGATCGAAAACAAACTGACAACGTCATGGCCAAAAATAAAAAGACAATCAGACAAATAATAGTACAGATGACACAACATAGAAAACTAAAGACTAAGCAACACGAACCCCACCAAAAACTTGGGGTGATCTCAGGTGCTCCGGAAGGGTAAGCAGATCCTGCTCAACATGTGGCACCCGTCGAGTTGCTTATGTTATTACAAATCCGGTAAATAGTCTAATTCGGTAAGTCACATTCGTGAAAAGGGAAGGGTATTGTAGTTACGACATAAGGAACATATCCGATATCATCTGTGAAACGGTTATTCCATAATGGTCAACCAACTCGTGATGGCGTCCGTAAAATTTAAATGGTGAAGTTGAAATCATCCCTTCGTAAATTTTACGGACGCCATCACAAGTTGGTTGACCGTTATAGAATAACCGTTTCACAGATGATATCGGATATGTTCCTTATGTCGTAACTACAATACCGTTCCCTTTTCACGAATGTGACTTACCGAATTAAACTATTTACCGGAATTGTAATAACATAAGCAACACGACGGGTTCCACATGTGGAGCAGGATCTGCTTACCCTTCCGGAGCACCTGAGATCACCCCCAGTTTTTGGTGGGGTTCGTGTTGCTTAGTCTTTAGTTTTCTATGTTGTGTCATCTATTCTGTTATTTGTCTGTTTGTCTTTTTTATTTTTGGCCATGGCGTTGTCAGTTTGTTTTCGATCTATGAGTTTGACTGTCCCTCTGGTATCTTTCGTCCTTCTTTTTTAATATATATTGCTTAAAATATATAGTTATGAGACTTCGTGATCATGCTTCTTGTCGATAGCTTTTACCAATTTTGACATTGCTGATAGCTCATGCGTTTTTCAGACTTGTTATGACGTCTTTACACTAAATCTGTTCGATGTGTACTGATTAATACTATAGTCTTGGAGAACATGATCTTTTTATAAGTTATAACTGCGAGTACTCTTGTTTGTTGCTTGTTGTTAATTTCTTTTTATGTTAGTTGTTTTTGTGCTTCGTACTGATCTTTTTAGTAAATCCAATTGCAACTGAATTTTCCAGGTTGTGCTTATGTTGCGCTATAACAATACTCTCCAACTTTAGGGATACGGTTGAACGCTCACGCACATGTTAGACCATCCGTTTCTTTATGCGCATATCCCAAATCAGGAGCCTGTTCAAAATGTAACAATTCTTCCTATAACAGGTTTGAAATGGCCTTTGTATAATAATAATTTATTTTACATATGTTAGGATTCATTGTCAAAAAAAAAAAAAAACAGTCGTCCGGAAATGTTCATAGCGTTAATCATTATGCAATCATAATTCATTTGTTTTGTAATTGTTCAATGCAAGATGATGTTGCAAGATGATGAAAAATAATTTTCTCAAATTGACGCGGTTAAAAAGAGAAGGTTAAGAAATCAAATTTTAAGGGGACTTAAATTGCCTTTAAATTATTTCTTTTTTTAATCATTTTTAGATTCGCCTTCAGTCACCATTGTACCTAATTATAATCCATATATCTTATACGAACGACAACAGAACATCGTATTTTCATGTGTGATAAATGATGCAAACCCTAGGAGTAATATAATGTACAACTGGAATTACCCGGATGGTAGCTATAGTGTACGTGGTGAATTCCTTACCACATCAACTGTTTTAAGGGGTCACAGCGGACTGTATTCCTGTAATGCTACAAACTCAGTTGGCACATCAAAAATCACGATAATACAGATAGAAATACAATGTAAGTAAATGATATCTGAACAAATGAGTGTATATTTACTTTAGGTATAAAACCACTAATTCATAGCCACATTGCTTTCTATGTTAAATTCTGCAATTGCAAGCATCAATGGCTACTTTGTCTTAAGTTCAAATAAAGTGGCAGGTGTTTCATATCAAAACTGTACCTTATGCTGACTTGTGCTGAAAAAATAAACATACCTTTAATTGCATATTAGAGCGTACTGGTTCCCGGAAGTCTGATGGTACAAAAACAGGAACTTCTGATCTGAACAACAGGCCAAATGAGCTCTCCTATTAAAATTTCATATACTTCTTTATTATTCAAATAAAACTTTCAACAAGGGTTCTACAGTGATCCCAAGTCCCCAAGCTTTCATTTAATACTAAAACTACCCAAATATTTCCACTTTTGACAAAGATACAGCTATGCGTATGAACTATTTTGTTTAAAATATGTACTACTTTCTTGTATGTTCTTTCCGACCGGGCCTGAATTAGTGGTTCTATACCTTTAACAAGGCTTTCTTTAAGACAAAGTGTGGACACAGTAACAGGTACACAACTACAATACTATTTCCGTAGAAACGGCATTTACAGCAAAGTTTTCAACTTGATACTGGTTTTGACTAAAATAATCAAACTACTGGGGACACTTTCGTAGTTATCAATTTATGTGGATACTTGATGTCGTTCTGCATCCAAATTTCTATTTATTGCACATTTTCACCGCTTAGCAGCAATACTGTATATATAAAAATAAGGAGATGTGGTATGATTGCCAATGAGACAACTATCCACCAAAGTTCAAATGAAGTTGATGTAAGCAATTATAGGCAACCGTACGGCCTTAAACAATGAGAAAAACCCATACCGTATGGTATAAAAGGCCCCGACATAAAAAATATGAAACAATACAATTGAGAAAACTAACAGCTAATTTATAACAAAACAGTTTACGAAATAATTAAACAATTTCAGATGAGCCAGTGATTTCAATGATCCATGGGTATAACATAACAGAAGGAAAAACACTTAACATTACCCCTATAATAGATTCCAACCCATCTCCAACATATATCTGGTGGACCCGGCAGAAGGATGACAGCTACCTTCATATTGGAACACCTTTAAAAATCTACGACATACAAACAAAGGACAGTGATAACTACACCTGCCATGTAATGAACATTATAAAACCATCAGGTTTACCCTCACAAAACAGGACTTCACAAAGCGTATTTAATGTTTATGTACAGTGTAAGTCCTTAAGATATTAAACATAGGTAACCAGACGTCAAACATAGCTAGTTTACCGATATTTCTATAATATACGTCTTTCATGCTGCAAAATACAAACCTATAACAACTTAGTTTCAATATGTCTTGAATAGTTTACCCTTGACTTCTTTCTTGCGTTTAGCGCATACATTATATAAAATTTAACCATTATTACCTTCACCAAATACTAAGGAAACTTTGGCAATATATATTTCGTATGTGTTGAAAATAGACATATAAACTGTGATAAATCAACAAAATGATATTAGTTACAAACGGATAATAGACATGATATATATTAAATTTGAAAATAAAACAAATATATATAGCGAATAATTTGGAGGGAACAAATCTATAACATAGATTCAAATGGACATATTTTTTAAAATCTGAAACATAAAATATAAAGTTTGAAAAAGAAAAGATGATCAAAAACTATGTTATTGAATACTGGAATTCTTATTTTGGAAAAATGAATGGGATTTAGTTTCCAAATCATTACAATATCATATACTGGTTATTCTACATATGATAAAATTAAGACACTGTCCAATTTTTGGTAATATTTTATGGTACAGATTTGTGTTACTTAGATCGAACTAAAATCGAGTATTATTACAAAAAAGCGCATTTTATATTATTTAAATAAATTATCGTTCCGAACCATTTTGTATGTCTTTAAACCTTGCCATTGGAAATAATCATGATTTTTATGGTGACTTGTTAATTTTTGTTTTATTTTCTTGCACCACTTGCAAATCCTTTGCACAAAGTTTACGTCGCATAGAATTAAAATACATTTGATACAGAATAGTGTTTGATATTGATCTTCAAAACAAAACCGTTTTATTCATACAGAACTATTTTTTGTTGTTCTTGCATCTCAATCATCATGGTTAAAGATATCGACAAACTGGTATATTAACAAAATATTCCTCAAATCACAATTAAGAAGGATTTGTATAATTTTGAACGAAACCTTAAAGAGTTTATCTCCCGTGACTATTGTATTAAGCAGTGAATTGAAGTAACATATCAACCGAAAGTTCTGAGAATTTATAGCCTTCTGATCAGTGAAAATCACTTTGAAAGATTTGGTCAATGTCAAAGGTAAAGGGTACATCATACGTTTGTTTGGAAGCAATGTCATGACTTCGTTTTTTACATACTCTGTAGTAAGCACTCCTGAGCTGGCATAAAATATAATTCATACAGTCATTTTCTGATAATTTACTGTTAATGAACTTATAAAATTTTCACAAACTCGAAAACGTTTTTACGTAAAGGCAAAATATATTTGGCACAACGTTTTGGAATTAACTAGTTTTCAATGAGCTTTTTGAAACCTGACATGACATGATAGAAACTTATTATCTATCCTATTTAAAAAAAAGAGCTTACCCATCATAAATATTTTAAAATCAGTGCAAAGTATTTATTTTTAACTTTTGATTAAGAAATTCTACCCTTAAATATACTACTTAGAAAAGCACTAATGTACCTCTCATTATTGAGAGCATATCATACAAGCAATAGTATGGTCAATGTAGATGAGTTTGCAGAAACGAAATACGGAAAACATATCGTACACCTAAGAAAAGAAGCATTTCTAAATTAGCATACGTCTTGTTGGTTGTCATCACTTTATTTAAAACTGTATAAATTAGAGTAACAAAACTAAAAAGAAATGATTTTAGTGGTCTGTTTAAAGATTTGACGTCATTATTGACAAAAACTATAAAATACAATCAATAGAATAAACTGCATTGTTATATTTATTAGAATGTGGTGTTTTTTATTCATTATGATTAATCTTTTGTTTTTTTTTTATTTTAGATTGCAATATAATTTGAATGTACCTTTGGTATCGCCTTTTTTTTTTTTAAATATTTCATTTAAAATAGCATTCTAGTTAAACTGTTGCGAAATTACAAAATCACTTGTCTAGGTTTGTGATATTGTAGTGTTATCTGCTGGAAAATCTGGGCAAACGACTACAATTGGTGTTTGGATTGGATCGTCTGTGATTTCAATTATTGCAATCGGACTTACAGCTTTCTTTGTTTTTATGTACAAAAAACGTCAAGTGCCAAATAGAAGAGGTATATCTTCTCTGTAGTTAGAATTTACTTTACTAATATGATCGAATATGATATTTCAATCCATGGAAATTTGTTTTAGCCACCCGAAACATTCTCAAATATCCATATAACAGTCGTATCATGCTAGAACAAAAGATTGGCATTCGTGTTTCTTTTTATTTTCGATTACATAGAGTCTACAGGAAGTGACTTAAAACAAGTCGTGCAAGTTGCGGTTCTTTAAATAGCAAATAGAAATGACACATTAACTAATGTTCAGATTCCACAATAAACAGTCAATCACAACAGATCTTAAATAGCCATCACATATGAAATATGAAGGTTATTCATGTATTGCAAAACGTCAGCGAACATAATTTTGAATTTGCATTGAAATAAGCAGACAATTCAACGAAGATTTACAGGATACAGGGGATTACCAAACATAAAATTATCTTAGTAGGAAGAAAACTCATAAAGACGATGATAAAACAATTGTAGTAATTTCAATCAAGACAATATACGAAAAGTTAACAATGACTTACGGCAAACACAAAGAGATTTAAATGAGTCATATTCTATGGTACTTTCAGAGAGGTAGAGCATATGCTTAGTATGGAAATAAGTTCAGAACTCTTTGAAATATTTTAATTAAATGTCGGTTAGTTTGAAAATAGAAAAACGCAACTTTTCAACAAATACGAATACTAGACAAAGGTTTTAATATCCATTTCACTATATAGATTGATATATATTTGAGAAGATAAATAAATAAAATGTCAATTAATACCTTAAACATCGACAAATTCTATATTGACCTCTGTTCTTCTAAACTACGTTTAGTAATAATTTATCTTTCACCTTATAGATATATTATATAGATGCAAACAAGTTAGAATATTTTGTATAGTAATAGCTAGTTTCAAACAGTTTCAAAGTTTCCATGTTGCTTTCATTTATTCGAGCACCACTGATTCACAACAAACTTGAATCGCCATCACAAAGAAATAAAGTTATTAATGTATTGCAAGCCGTCAGCGGACACAATTTTGAATTTACATTGAACTAAACAGACAATTCAAAGAAGTTTTACTTGATATAATGGATTACAAAACATAAAATTGCTTAGTAGTTGGAACTCCTTAAGCCCATGATAAAACAATTGTAGTAATTTAAATCGAGACAATATACGAAAAGTTAATAGTGACTTACGGCACACAGAAAGTGATTCAAATGAATCATATACTATAGTACTTTCAGAGATGTAGATCATATGCATTGTATGGAAATAAGTTCAGAACTTTGCTTTCATTTAATCGAGCACCACTGATGAGTCTTTTGTAAACAAAACGCGCGTCTGGTGTAACAAATAAGAAGCCTGGTATCTTTCATGAGTTTTATATAACAACATATAATACAGATATTTAATTTCATTATGAAAAAAAAACCAAACTTATAAAAAAATTAAAAACGCACGCAAAGGATGTTTAATCCAAAATTTAATCGATAATTTCAGACATCTTACTTACAATCGGCTACACCATTAAATAATTATTGTGTTTATCGTTGATGAAATAAACTTACTAGTTGTTTTGTATGAATATATCAAGTTATGACTGCTGTTTTTTTTTCTATAGAAAACACCAACAATCGAGTGTACGAATCATCACAAAATGTACAGAGGTAAATTTAGTTTTTAAAGTATGGCTTATCGACGCTTTCAGGATAAACTGGTGCCTCTATACTATCTGTATTATATTGATGCCGGGACCAATTATCATATTTTTTTCATATTTTGTTTTGTTTTAAAAAGTTTCAATGTTTCCATGTTGCATGAGATACACATTGAATGACTTTATTTGTGTAAAATAGTATTAACAAAATCACCGAACTCCAAGAAAGATTAAATAAAGAGGCAAGTCTAGACTATATCAACCAACGGAACGAATGGAAAACAACTACTATATTTATGACTTTAAACAGGCATTTTCTGAAGAAAATTGTAATTGTGAGAAAATATCAAATTATTGCATGATGATAGTTTACCAACATCCTTTTTACGCATAAAGTCTTGAAGGATTAAATAAAATGAACGTGATGTGGGATACACGACATGGAGTTAGAAAGAAACGAAAACTATCAAGCAAACAGAATTGTGTACAACAGCTGAAGGTATCCTGCCAAAATGACATGCTCGTTCTGATTCTGTAAAAAGTAAAAAAAAAACAACCGAACTCTAAGGAAATTTTTCAAAACAGAAAGTCCCTTAAAAGGCAAAATCAAAAACTCAAACACATCAAACAAATGGACTACATGTAATATGACTACTTTTAATTGTAACAATCAAAATCAAGTTGGTGTTTTTGAACTGATTTGTTCTGTATTAGATTAAAAAAAAAACAACGCACATAATAATTTACATGCATGCACATAGACTTTTAGTTTTGGAGCACCACTAATGAGTCTTATTTAAACGAAACGCGCGTCTGGCGAAACAAATTATAAGCCTTTCATGAGTTTTGATATAGTACAATATAATAACATATGAGCTGCGTTGGATAGAAATCGACCTTATACAAGTGCACATATACATGTCCATGTATAAGACTTTGATCGATTTTGGAAAATTCAAATACGAAATGAAAGATGATTTTGGTCTGTTTGTAAGGTTGTTATAACAACTCAATTTTCAAAGACTTTGAATAGAGATTTTTTCAACCCGAAATAGGATAACAGATGTATTGGTATTAACATGCATACGGTCGATTTTTAACAGATATTTAATTTATAAATTTTCAACAAAACGCGTGCTGACTTATGATTTCTGTTCATTATATTTTTTCCAATGTTTAGAAACACGTCAGAGACAGACCAACATTTATATAACGAAATACAAATTATTGAATCGGGTGAGTAAATGGTACATTTGATAACGTAACAACCGCAATCTTCTTTGGTAAATTTTATAAACAGTTTTATTTCAAATTTGCTAGTGATTGTAATATTACCTGAGCTAAATTCAGACACTGTTAACATATAAACAAGTGATTTGAAAGTAATTAATAGTCCTGCAAACCGTGATGAATCATATTTGATCAGATGCTTTACTTATTAATTATGTTATTTAATACAGATCACACGAAACGAGCATAACTTCTACGAATTGCTTTAGTGAAGGCTTAAAGAAGTCGAAACTTATAAACATAATTAGAAAATAGAAAAAAATGTAATGTCTTGACAGTTGACAAAAATAACGCTAACAGTTGAAAGCACATGCCAGCCAATAAAAGACAATGTCTTTGTTAAAAATGGGTGATGACACGTTCAGATGAGCACGGAATTAGGAATGACAGAACTGAATTTACGATAGGAAATTCACAGAGTTATGCTGAAACCTCAACATGGGTTCATTGTGAGGTTTTTGTGATTTATCATTGTTGAATGCATTTGATATTTAGTAATGATTCTTGAATATTCCAAATCGTATCTCGTGCAGTGAAATTAGTACTGTTAACGTTATTACTACTATCAGTTCGTATTTTGGTGAACTCGTAGTTACCGAGGATATCGCAAACCGGTAGCCAGTATTAGGCTGTGGCATGAAAATGTAGATAGATATTAGAAGATGTGGTATGAGTGCCAATGAGACAACTCTCCATCCAAGTCAAAAATTATAAAAGTAAACCATTATAGGTCACAGTACGGTCTTCAACACGGAGCCTTGGCTCACACCGAACAGTAAGCTATAAAGGGCCCCAAAAAATTACTAGTGTAAAACCATTCAAACGGGAAAACCAACGGTCTAATCTATATAAAAAACGAGAAACGAGAAACACTTATGAACCACATAAACAAACGACAACTACTGAACATCAGATTCCTGACTTAGGACAGGTGCAAACAAATGCAGCGGGTTTAAACGTTTTAATGGTACCAAACCTTCACCCTGTTTCTGATATAATAGTGTAACATCACAACATAGAAAGACACACTGCAAAATATCAACTGAAATAGCTTAACTCAATCAAAGGACATATTAACACCACTGAACATACAGTGAACAAATAAATTTGACCTATGATACAATATAATGTAAATACAAAATAAATAAACTAAGGGAAGAATAATAAAAGTAACATGTTATATAGGTATGAAATGTTAAACAATTTAAGAAAAACATTATGCTCGAACAAAAATATCAACCATTTGCAATAACTTTAAACACAAGTAAATGAAAATAATTTTGTTGTTAGGTATACGTGAACAGTTCCAATAGAGAAAGGAAATATTTTTACAAAATAAATAATTTTGATGTTCATAGTACGAAGTGAAAATTGATAGTAATACCAAACACTTATCAAAGCTGGTATATTGAACAGATATAACCCTGAATAACATTAAATAACAAAAAAATACTACAATTAGTATCAACAGGTCAAATAAACAAGAAAGTACGATTTGAGAGTACTCGCAGTTACTGACAGCTAGTTAAAAGCCAAAACAATTAATAATAAAAAATCATGAATCAGAGACTAAAATCAACTAAAACACATCTTAGGGATTTAGTATTTTAACGTCATGGACAGTCAAAGAAGACATGACTAGTGCAATGCCAAAAATAAATGTATCGACAGACAGTAGGATAGTTAGGAGTTTAACCTCTTTATAGATCAAAATGAACGTGGGTGTGTCTTTATACATCCCGTTTGAAAAGAATACAAATTTAGTTATGTTTTAATTTGCTGATGACAAAATCGATAATAGTGTCAATGTAAACTATATTTAAAGATCTAATTACAACATTGGTAAGAGTCTTTTTTATTGAAATTTGCTTTTGAAATATTTTTAAACTATGAAATGTATTTCTCTCGTGCATACCTCTGATTCATTGTCCAGGTTTGGCTGTACGTTTTGTCCTTTTTTTGTTTTATCAGCACTTCAGCTTTTGTATATGATGTTAAAAAGAACAAAAGATAAAATTAGATAAACCACAACTTCTTATTTGAAGTTTTCGTTTTTTCAGATGTCGAAAACCAGAAAAAGAAGATTGACGGAAGGTAAAGTTGTCAATTCTAAGTTTTGTAGTTCGTCATATATATATATATATATATAATGGCAGTTAGCAGGGTTTAAGAACATCAGTTGTTCGACCTGCTAGTCAAATGCGTTTGTTAACATATACCTTTTCATTCATTTGGTCTTTTGGAAAATGTTGTTTGTGCTGTATTTAGACCCCTCTACCAAGAAATTTGTTATGCATGCACACGTATAAAAATTCCGGTTTTTATCCAACGCAATCATAGGTTTGTTATATTTAACATTGCCATAAAAGTGCGAGGTTTGGCAACCCACAAAAGCAGGTTCAACCCACCATTTTTTTCTTAAAATGTCCTGTACCATTTTTTTCTCAATCGATTTATGAATTTCGAACAGCGGTATACTACTGTTGCCTTTAATTGAACGTTGTTTTCAATTTAGACTTGTTTATATTTTTTCGTTTGGGCTTGTATTATATTTGCCTTCGGGTTTGTATGATCCGTTCATCCTATTTTGACTCTTTCAAAATTCAAGAGTCTATCCTAAATTGAGGTAAATTATATGGCCTTGCAAATACCGTTTCGATTCCTAACATCACTGAAGAGACATTAATTGTCGAAATCCGGATATGGTGTACAAACTTTTGCACCTCATGTTTGCGGTATACCATCTTTTCTGCAAGTTTATTGCTTTCTGTTTGGTAATAAATTAATAATAAGATCTATTTTGTTACATCTTGTGATCCGTTTTTTTGGCAATCGCCAATGGCAGTCAGCAGGGTGTAAGAACATCAGTTGTTCGACCTGCTAGTCAAATGCGTTTTGTTAAAATATACTTTTTCACTCATTTGGTCTTTTGGAAAATGTTGTTTGTGCTGTATTTAGACCCCTCTACCAAGAAATTTGTTTTGCATGCACACGTATAAAAATTGCGGTTTTAATCCGACGCAATCATAGGTTTGAACGTTGTTTTTAATTTAGACTTGTTTATATTTTTTCGTTTGGGCTTGTATTATATTTACCTTCAGGTTTATATGATCCGTTCATCCTATTTTGACTCTTTCAAAATTCAAGAGTCTATCCTAAATTGAGGTAAATTATATGGCCTTCAAAATACCATTTCGATTCCTCACATCACTGAATAGACATTAATTGTCGAAATCCGGATATGGTGTACAAATTTTTGCACCTCATGTTTGCGGTATACCATCTTTTCCGCAAGTTTATTGTTTTCTGTTTGGTAACAAATTAATAATAAGATCTATTTTGTTACATCTTGTGATCCGTTTATTTGGCCATCGCCAGTGGCAGTCAGCAGGGATTAAGAACATCAGTTGTTCGACCTGCTAGTCAAATGCGTTTTGTTAAAATATACTTTTTCACTCATTTGGTCTTTTGGAAAATGTTGTTTGTGCTGTAATTAAACCCCTCTACCAAGAAATTTGTTTTGCATGCACACGTACAAAAATTGCGTTTTTATCCAACGCAATCATAGGTTTGAACGTTGTTTTCAATTTAGACTTGTTTATATTTTTTCGTTTTGGCTTGTATTATATTTACCTTCAGGTTTATATGATCCGTTCATCCTATTTTGACTCTTTCAAAATTCAAGAGTCTATCCTAAATTGAGGTAAATTATATGGCCTTGCAAATACCGTTTCGATTCCTAACATCACTGAATAGACATTAATTGTCGAAATGCGGATATGGTGTAGATATATTTGCACCTCATGTTTGCGGTATACCATCTTTTCCGCAAGTTTATTGTTTTTTGTTTGGTAATAAATTAATAATAAGATCTATTTTGTTACATCTTGTGATCCGTTTATTTGGCAATCGCCAATGGCAGTCAGCAGGGTTTAAGAACATCAGTTGTTCGACCTGCTAGTCAAATGCGTTTTGTTAAAATATATATATATAAACTGAAAACAACACTTAATAAATTTCATGCGTCCGATGCACTTTTCTGGTGTTCTTTTATCAGGAAATATCACAGTCGAATATTTGAAAAGCATGGATGTATAAGAACCGAAAAATTAGAAGCGCTATAATACCAAAAAGGATATGCAAATAGCCAAATACATCTAAGGTCAACTTTAAAACAGTTCATCTTTTAAAACATCTTTGTAGTTTGACGTATAGTTTGTTAACGTTCCAATAGGACTTTTTCCGGAACAGCGTTTATCATTCACCTTGATTAGTTACCTAAGCACATTTGACAGTTGTTCTACGGCATACAATTTAGATATCTAAAGATTGAAATCAAACATATAGCACATTCATATACTGTGCATTATCATTATTCTTTTGCAGCTTAAATTCTTACGAAGATATTTGGGATGTACGCAGCATAAAACCTGATCATGTCTACCAAAATTTGAAAATATCAGACGAAGGTAAGGGATTAAAATATGAAATGTGTGTATAACCTAGATTTGATATTTGTTTAATCGTTTGAACAAGTTTGAATGCCTGTACCAAGTAAGGAATATGGCAGTTGTTTTTCACTTGTTCCGTTGATTGAAAGCATTTGATTTTGTCAAAGTTTATGGATTTTCCCTTGTTGAATTTGCCTTGGAGTTCGGTATTTTTGTTATACTTTTTGTCTTCTCCAGATTAAAATATTTGAACATATATATATACACGTCTAAACATGTGGCAACTTTATGACAGACATTTTCCATAAGATAACACAGGGCTAACACCATAATGTATATATGACTCGTCTCAATTTTAGTCCAACAATGATAGATCTTCAAATTTGCGTTAGCAAATTTTTGTTCTTCCCTCAGTGGGATTCGAACCCTTGCTTCTGTGACATCGTGGCAACACCGCCTGCATCGTGCCCAGTGCCGTAGACCACTCGACTATCTAGGCTACATTAAAATGTAGCTTTCGGTGGTCGACGTAATGCCTTTCCTCGTCGGCTTTATCTAGGGTTGTAACACAGTATGTAATGCCTTTCCTCGTCGGCTTTATTTAGGGTTGTAACACAATATGTACTGTGTTACAACCCTAGATAAAGCCGACGAGGAAAGGCATTACATGGACACAGTATGTACTGTGTTACAGCCCTAGATAAAGCCGACGAGGAAAGGCATAACATCGACCACCGAAAGCTATATTTTAATGTAGCCTAGGTGTTCGAGTGGTCTAAGGCGCTGGACACGGTGTAGGTGGTGTTGCCACGATGTCACAGAAGCAAGGGTTCGAATCCCGCTGAGGGAAGAACAAAAATTTGCTAATTTATACATATATATATATATATATATATATCCCTTCAATTTACAAACGTTATATCGGAAAGACAAAACACAAAAACAGTGTAAACAATTGAAGAATGTATTAAATTAATATAAGGCCAAGCTAATAGATTTGATTTAGTACTTTCAATTTAAGAAAAAAAAAATTGGCTGATTGAATCAGTTTAAGTACGAACGATATTTCACTTTTTTAACTGGCGCAAGTGATGCAGAAATCACCAACTAAAAAAAATAGGCATTAATAGTACAATACGTTACAATAACATATACTTCAATTACATTTCTATTGTCTATTGATCTTAAGTATTGTTCTTAACATCAATCATATTACAATGATATGCACAGATAAAATAGCTACGATTGTAAAATATCTATATTAAATGAAGCGGATGCCCTTCGATAGTACAGTTACACATAAGTACAAGGTTTGTTGCTTTCCATCCGCAATACGTCCGTATTTACCAATAAAACGTCCATAATGATAATACAGATTGTTGAATTTCATCCGTTTTACGGACATTTAATTCAAAGTGACATACATGTAGCTCAGTATACATGGTAAACACATATTCATAAGCACAACAATTATATGTACACTCTATTCCTGAGCGTGCAATATTTTTTATATGTAATTAAAAGAATACTATGAAAAACACATGTGGAAATCCTGCGAATTGCGCATATCGCATGATTTGCACATGATTTGATACGTATGACTCGTATTGTTCTTCATATAAAAAGAAGAAGATGTGGTATGATTGCCAATGAGACTCTCCACAAGAGACCAAATGACACAGAAATTAACAGCTGTAGGTCACCGTACGGCCTTCAACAATGAGCAAAACCCATACCGCATAGTCAGCTATAAAAGGCCCCGAAATGAAAAATGTAAAACAATTCAAAAGAGAAAACTAACGGCCTAATTTATGTACAAAATAATGAGCGAAAAACAAATATGTTACACATCAACAAACGACAACCACTGAATTACAAGCTCCTGACTTGGGACAGGCACATACAGAATGTGGCGTGGTTAAATTCGTTTGAAGGCGTCAACCCTCCCCATACCTAGTTATGTACATATCATGGCACACTAATAATGACACAGCAACCCAGTAACGCAAAAACCAAGGATGAGTACATAAAAGATTTGAAGGGCAGTACAACCTTTAATTCATGACTAGATAGCAGATAAAAAACTTTAATATTATTACCAACCAAAAGTATTTTCTTATACACAATGTTTACAAGTGTTGTTGAAGTATCATTATGTTCAAATCATGATGATATGAATGTTGAAGGCCAATATTATGCAATAGTTTAAGTAAAAATAAAACTTGTGATTATACAATAGTAATACATAAGATTGAGTAAAGATCATTCGTGATACGAGTAATCTTCTTTACGTCACTATTTTTTTTACAGAATTTTCGATTTTAATGCTCTGCGATTTTGCATTTTATTTGGCCTTCTAGTTGTTTTATTCCAGCGCTTCCTATGAGTCGTTTGCAGATGAAACGCACAGAAAAGGTGTACAAAATTATAAGCCTATTATCTTCATGTGTTTTTACGGACGTTTCCGTAACCACCGTAAAGCGTCCGTATCAAGGATGTTTTACAGACAGTGAAGTACCACTTCCATGATACGTCCGTAGCTATTTTAACATCGGTAAACAACTGTTCTCCTTAATCTACCTGTGTAGTGATATGAATACAAATAATGTAGGGTGTACGTCAATGAAGAGGCAGTCCAACGAAATAATTTAGATAAGTCTTTAACAAAAAAAAGTTGTCTATAGAACACATCAAGCTCTTACTCACTCATTCTAAACAGAAGTGAATGAATTATAAAAAAAAAGTGGAAAGCTTTGAAATGAAAAATAAAAATGTAAGTCACGAAACAACGATAAGGTTTCACATTACACAATCAGAATCGAGGTTCTTTTGGAAGTGGACATCTCGTATGGCAGGTTTAACAATTGTCGTTAATCTAAAACCTTTTCCTTTTTTTTATTACAATCAAGGAATAACAGACAAGACATTAAAGAACAAACAGCACAAACTTATACAAGATTATGGCAAGCCGTTCTCGTCAAAACTATGTTCAAACAATTTTTCGAAAAATTTACACACTGAGAATTAAAAAAAAAACAATGAGATTAAAAAACCTAAAAACACACACTGAGACTTCATAAAGACGCACTGAGATTACAAAAAAGGAAAATTACACACTGAGATTTCAAAAAGACACACTGATATGAAATAAACCAAAAAACACACACTGAGAATTTGAAATTACACACTGAGAATTTAAAATTACACACTGAGATTTGTGAAACAGAAAAATGAACAAAACATAAATAAAAAAAATATAAGAGAAATTTTGAGAAAAGCATGCTAAAGAAAAGAAGCTGTGTGAACTGTCGGTCACGAGGAGGACGGACGTCAATCATTTACTTATATCAATATTAAATAAAAATAAAGTGAAGTTGTCAAATTGTATGTCAATTTTACTGGAGCAAAAGTAGCATTGGCGCACAGAATTGAAATTTTGGCGCAACCGAATATCGCCGATAATTTATCATCGACTTTTGAGTTTGAATACCCTTTTTGTATCTTCCGCCTCTCCTGTAAATATAGTATTCACAACTTAAAGTTTAAATGACCAAACATATAATAGAATTTAACCATGCTATACATATTTATACACAAGCTGGATATTTGTAATTAAAAAATAAGTAGTTAATATGTTGAGAAAAAAAATCCTTATTTGTTTTTATTTCAGAAGAGAAAAAGCAACAAAAAGAAAAGGCTATATATGTTAACTTGGAATTGAAACCTTCAACGTATACTTAGATGTATAGACTTTTATTAACTTGAAATTAATAACAATAAAAAAAGTCAGTTGAGGAGAGTCTTATACACGAAGAACCTGACAATATTTAGTGTCTGAACTTGACGATGTGTTGTATATAAAGTAACATAATGTCAAACAAATGAGTTCTTATGTTACAGTAAATTGACAATTTATTTCAAGATGAAACACTATCCTTCATTTATTCTTAGTATTGAAGCAATATTGTAAAATAAAGTTAAAACTTTCAGGTTTGAATCGAAATATAGAGGCAGATCTAAATAAGGAGATGTGGTATGATTGCCAATGAAAAAATAAAACAATCCACAAGTGTTCAAAGGACGTGGATATAAGCAGTTATAGGTCAACATGCGACCTTCAACAATGAGAAAAAAAAAAACAATACAAGCTATAAAGGTTTCAAAAATGCATCATAATCAATCTATACCAGAAAATTGTTAAAGATTTAATTAAAATGTCTGTATTTATTTCAATTGTTTTACCACAAAATATATTTGTGGGTTAATAATTTTCATTTTTATATTATTGTGATTGTGATAGAATGTATTCATCTGTTTAATCGAATCATAACCCACTTACTGTATTTAAAAATGCAGGATCAATGATCAGCAAATGTGAGGAAAAAATAAATAGGAAGGCGTGGATATATATTTGTTTACAAATTCATATTGATTTTTACAGTACATTGAAAGGTTTATTGCTGTGATACTAATGTGTCCTCAACTGATTATATCTGTATTGCACTTTTATAGATTTGTGGTTGGTTGTACTGTGCCCGAAAATTAAACAGTCTAGAGCCAAAACAGCTGATCGACAATCTATATCACGGCCAACACAGAAATAACCAGTGATTAACAATGAAAAAAAAAAACCAAAACATTGAAATAGTTAATTTTTACCTAGAGATTACCTAAAAAGTTTGGTAAAGCGTAAAACATTTGCAACAACAAGTAAGTATTCTGCAGTAGCACTTTGGCCAATATATGTTTTTCCGAATTGTTCATTGGATAGGAGTATTGTTAAAATATCATCAATGCAGCGTCACAAGTATTGCACTTGTCGATGTTTATATACTCGAATTATTCTGAGCATTTAACAATGAGGACAAGTGACACGAACATGAAACAAACTATTGCACTAACAGCAATTTCAAACAATAAAATGCAAGGTAAAGTTATACAATATCATGCATTTAATCTATTACGATATAGTACCAACTATTTGAATTATTTAAAAAGTTTTTTTTAATTATAATTGTAGTTTCGTTACCGTTTATCATAATACATCACTGAGTTTAATACAACATTTCGTCAAACAATCCATCTGAGCGTACTTTGTCAATCACTTAGTTAACAGAGCTTTTGACTTTACAGTTTATATAAATTAATATTTGCTGAACACTGATATAACTCTCCAGATTATTTTAGTTGTCTTTATACCTTTTTGTGTTTTGTAATGTGATTTAGATTTAGAAATCTATACTCTAGATTGAATCTGTTTGGTTGTGCATGATGTATAAATTTGCATTCTTTCTGAATGCGAACATTAAATTTGATTCCTCGTGTTAGGAGAGTGCCATTATATCTGCAGTTTTCAAACTCTTTGACCGTTCCGTAGGTGGCCCAGTTGCAAGGCAACATTTCTGTCCCTATTCAACATACCTCCATTTCAAGCAGCAGTCGAAATTCCTGTTCTTTATCCGTGTCAATTCATTGCAGATCCTGCCTATTTGATTACTTATTGATTTGTTCTCGTCTGAAATATGCAAGAAATACTTGCTACTGGACGCAAACAAACAACAGTGAGAGAGTCCAAACCACCCTAACCTGGTACAGTGAGCTAACAGAACAACAGAAAACAAAATGTAAAAATCAGTTGGAAATTGATTGACTCATCAGATTGACACAAGGACAATAACAACTTACTTAAAAATAAAAGACTTGAAGCATCAACATAAAAGGACTCGCAGTTACGGAAAGCTAGTTCATAGCCAATTAGAAATAATAAATAAATCATGTTAACCCAGACCATAAGAGATCAATAAAAAATCCTAAGCAGGTGTTATAATTATATTGATAACTTTTACGAATAAGTTAATCCAAAGTATCAATGAGCTGACATTGATCTTATCGAAATGTATGAACTCTATCAACGGCATAACCATACAAACAAGGATGTGATATCCCTTTTTTTATTTATAATACTACAGGTACAAGCTAACTTCAAGACCAATTCTGTGTATCTATGAACGAATTCAGTAAATGCAAAGGTTGTTATTTATATTATATCTATTTAAAGAAGGTCCTCTTTGATAAACGTATTTCCGCATTATAAATAGAGAAATCTTGATTATGCAAAGCACAAATATCATCTAGTTAAATATCTATCGCTGATAGAAATACAAAGAAAAAATGCTGATGATGGTTTTCGGTACGCAGATTCTGTCAATTAGAAAATTCAGAGTCTCATTATGACGTTATAGCAGAAAAGGACATTACATGAGTTGCAACCGCAACCAATAATATACAATCAAATGAAAAAAAAAAAAACATCATGAAAAATTAAATGACTTCCGTTTAATCAGATAATGTAAAAAACAGTGCAGAGGAGTGTCGACAAGCCATAATGGTCAACGTGATTAATCTGAAAAATCCAAAGAACTCCAAAAATAATTGATTTCGATATTTTCATATAATTTAGAATGAATTTCATAACAGTATGGACATGGACACCTGATATTTAAATTATATCGTGTCGGTCACTGGCTGTCGACAACAAAGACTTCATGCAATTACAGTATGTCAGTGGCCTCTCAATGGGGATATACATAATTACTATTTTACACATGTTCATTCATTAAATATTTTTTTTTGCTTGAAAGCTGGGAATTTGTTTTGAATATATTTATATACTGACAGCAAAAAGTTTCTTTTGAAAGAATGAGTATATTCAGAGGTGACAAAAAAAAATTTGATATCACAAAGTAATCAAGAGAAAAAAAGTAAGAAAATTTTTTTTCTGGCAATAAGTGAAAAATTAGGAAGTGTGTCAGTTATAGACTAGTAGTCCATCATACATTGCAAATCGTTCAATGGATTGGTCAATCGCCAAAATAAAAAAAAAAGCTTTATTTGTAAACAAACACGAATACATGCATTGACGGGGTCATAAGTATGTTAAATAATACATGTCCGTATAAGGAAATGTGCCCGACCTGATAAATGCAGCTGTTCTGTTGATTTGAAAAACGATTCGACGGATCACAGCGATTTAATTTAGAATTGTACTTATTTTTTTTTAATTTGTGTTTCAGTATCTATCCATGAATTAAATATGTTCACACTACCTTTTATACTAGAATAATTAAACGAGTGCTCCAAGTTTAAAGGTTATTATTACAATGTTACTGTTATGTTGACATAATAACCTGTACATTATCTCGTGTTACAGTTGACCAGTTTAGTCTTATTTATTATTCCAAAAACAGATGTTTTGTGAACATATCATTAAATTCATGGATATATATTGAAACACAGAAACCGAAAAAAGAAGTGAGTACAATTTCAAATTGTAAGGGGACGACAGGAGTGGCTATGCAAGAGGCTTTTGAAATTAGCATGAATAAAATTGCAAGTAAAAGTTTATGCAGAATTGTCTCAAATATGCGTCCCCAAATAAAAAAAAAAAAAAAAAAAGTTGCGTAAGACCATATTCATTGAAATTACCTGCTTAATTTGTAGTAAAAGAATATAGATCCCGTAACTTTCATTATACAAATTCAGGTATAACAAAATCTAAAATAAATATCAATATTTCCACAAAAGCTACTCTTGACTCCAATCACTACACATTTTGCACACAGGACCGGATTCATATGCTTCTTGATATTTTCACGAGTTATTTTTTGTTAGAATGATATTTAAATGTTCACGAAAATCTGATCCTTGGAGTCTTCGATGGGAATTCAAATTTGTTCCTTGAAAAAAATTTTTAAGGATCCACAGAACGTTTGTGCAAGAAAAAAACATAACCTTTTTTTTCTCGATTACTTGGTGATGAATTTACTCATTCTGTCAAAAGAAACTTTTTGTTGGGAGTATGGTGAGTATATAAAAATATTCCAAACAAATTCCTATAAACTTTCATGCAAAAAATTTTATTTTATGAATGCACATGTGTAAAGATAGTAATTCTGTATATCCCCATTGAGAGGCCCTGACAGACTGTAATTGCTTGATGTCTTTGTTGTCGACAGCCAGTGATACACACGATAACATTTATTACTATGTGTCCATGTCTACGCTGTTTTGAAATTCATTCTATTACCCACCTTACGTGAATTGAACATAGGTAAACTACTGTCACCTTAATTTACTAAGCCTTATGAACATTTCTATATTATTTTCGAAATGTTATATTCGAATATCCACAATATTCATACATTTATTCAAATTAGAAATCAAGTGATTTTTTGTAACACTTCTTCCGTTTACATCAACATTTACAATAGCTATGAACAAAAGGCATTTTTATTTAGCTGATAACAATCTTATTTTTTCACTTTCGATTGAGGACTATATTTCGGTCTTTAGTTCAAAAGTTGATAACCTTTCTCCCTTGAACGATGCTGAGGTGCCCTGTGTGATTACATGAACATAGTTGTCATATCTTAATATCGATATTTCATAGTTACATGTTGAAGACGTATTATTTCTTTTAATAATATATACTTAAAAAAAAAAATCTGATTTTTTGTCTTCGTATTATAAATTAGGAGTGACCCTCTGCTATCAATATATGTAGATAATAAAGCTTTGAACGTTTGAAAGTAATTTAGTCAGTAAGGAGAGAACACTGTTGGTTATCATTAAAAATAACGATTGTAATAAAAACTAATCCTGCATCTTGTTGATGTCTGTTTAACTAAATTGTTTTAATCAGTGTTTTATTTTGAACAAAGACTGATTGTCTCTCCGGTAAACAAAATATTTGTCTTGGCTGACCATTCGTTTAAAAAAAATATTGTTGACCAGTCTTGTTCAAGAAACAAATTAGGCTAAAGTTTAGAATGAGGTATACTTGTGTAAGAGAAAGAGAATTGAAATGTTATTATATTATTGCACGAGGAGAGGGACTGACATTGTAAGGACTCAAATCTTGTAAAATTGATAATGCAAATGGGGAATATGTCAAAGAGACAACAACCCGACCAAAGAGCAGAAAACAGCCGAAGGCCACCAATGGATCTTCAACACAGCGAGAAAATCCCGCAGCCGGAGGCGGGCTTCAGCTGGCCCCTAAA